CGGTCTGCCTCAAGATTATATCATATTATGCGAGACTCGCGAATAACATCCGCCTGGCAGATCTAGAAAGTGAACACAATTACAGGAAGTGAGGCGACAAAACTTACATAATACAATACGGCTGGATGTAGCTTTACATTGCCTACCTAGGAACACGGATAGAAGAAAAAGAACGAGGTTTTTCTTGGAGGAAGATGTTTGCTGCAGCCCGTAGCACAATCAAGTGCTCTTCAAAAATAAGACTTTATCAACTTAACATTCTCGACCAATCACAGGCGCTAATTCCATTGACCTGTGACCTATAAAAAATTGGCACGAAAAAACGCTGGCTGTGCGATTGTGGCATCATAAATGACGCGGACTGTAGTCGCGGACTTCTGGACTCTGTAAAACGTGGGGGTCAGGATGTAGGTATATGCAGTTCTGTAGCTATTAAATCATTATGTGTTGTTTTTAAAACATATTTTTCAATATATTTTTTAACACAACTGCAACATTGATGAAAGCATATGCAGTTTGGTAGTCACAGACATTATGGAATCAAAAGATCAGAAGATGTGGGGTGGTAGACATTGCAGAGAAGGTGAGGGAAGCAAGGATGAGATAGTATATGGACACGTATAATAAGAAGAGATGAAGGAGAGCTGGTCAGAGACATTATGGAATGAGATGAGAAGATGATGTGAGGTGGTAGACATTGCAGAGAAGGCGAAGGAAGCAAGGCTGAGATGGTATGGACACGTAATAAGAAGAGATGAAGGAGAGCTAGTCAGAGACATTGTGGAATGAAGATATCAGAAGATATGGTGTGGTAACATTGCAGAGAAGGCGAGGGAAGCAAGGTTGAGATGGTATGGACACGTAATAAGAGATGAAGGAGAGCTAGTCAGAGACATTGTGGAATGAAGAGATCAGAAGATATGGGGTGGTAGACATTGCAGAGAAGGTGAGGGAAGCAAGGTTGAGATGGTATGGACACGTAATAAGAAGAGATGAAGGAGAGCTAGTCAGAGACCGTTAGAGACCTTACGATTTTAGGACGGCAACGCGACGACGACGGCCAAAACAAACTCCTTCAAATAAATGGTAGTGAAGATAGTTCGTCGTATATTATCAATCGTATGAATTTAATACAGTTTTAGAAGTTGAAGACATGTGTTTTATGGTTGGGAAGAGTTCTGCTAAACCAAGTTTGAAGGACGCGTATTGCGGTACGGACGCGTATTGCGGTCGATGAGTCCGCGTCTTAATGAGTTCGGTACATTTCTATGCAACAATACGCGATAACAAATGTTACTGCAACAATTATGTGTTTCGCTGAGTCGCGTCGTCTTTTTATTATCATGTCGCTACAAAACAAAACACAAAGACTAGCACGCAAGAGGAAGCTATCTCTTTCAGCATACCTAGTATGGAGGAACACATTTAATATAACCCGAAATAGTCAAAACAAAAGTAAATATGAAGTACATGACAACAGCTTGACTGTGAGATTTAACAGCCACAGGGCAAAAAAATGATGAATATCATAATCTAATCTTCACGCACTTCAGAGATGTAATTTAAATATTTATTGTATAACAAATATGGAAAGCTGATTGCAAGGACCGTGAGAAGATATCTGGATTATGAGGAGAGAAAAAACTGGTTTAAAACATTTGTGTGCACACCTTCAGCAACAAATTCTCCAAGAAAAAATAATGGCAGTTTTCTGTGATCACCATACATAAAAGTTAAACGATCCCCGCGTCATGTTTATCCGAAGTTCGTATTCAATATATGTAGGATAAATTCAGTTGTTTCCATATTAAAGAATGGCCCATACTGAACCTCTATGGAGAGCAGTTTTGAACTGATATAGCTAAGTTTTTTCTAGTTTAATGGGTAGAGCAGCAGTTTATTAAACCGAAGGTATATGCTTGAATCAAGCGTTCATATATGACACAACTCAAAAACTGAAAAATCGCGCCGCGTTGTCGAATCGGGTCCGGCGTGTCTCGGCCTTAAAACTCGAATTCAAAGCACAATGGATCTTTGAATCTTCGTTTTTAATGAAACCATGATTAGGTTTTATGGCTCATATTAACATTCCATGTGTCCCTGGGTAACGCGTGATATTTAAAGCCTGAAGGGCGGCAGTGAGGCATAAAATTTAACTCCAATATCATTTAATGAATCATCACAATATTTTGTCTCATGAGAACTTGAATAATTCACTTCTGGCTATTTTCATGCAGCTTTGAATGCGCAAAATTTGATCGACATTTTCAGCCATATAGCTACAATACTCTGAATCCTCATGCAATCGGATATTTCAAAAGTAAAACATCAAATTTCAAACTATTTTATAAATCTTCACGGACATTTTCATTCCAAGTTACTATGTGATAGAATATGCGGTTGAATAAAAAACGATCATTAAAGTCCTATTGTTCATAGCACGTGGTCAAAATGTGCTTTGAAGTTTGAACGACGTGACGTACATGTGGTTACTTGGGGTTTGTTGACATATCCGGTAAAACATATTAGCGACATTTAAGCCCATTTTCCACTTGGCGAATTTGTTCGCGCGAATTAACAGTAGGAACTGATCCAACTTTTTCGAGGCGAATTTTTTCGCTCACCAATGGACGACTTGCGCAGTTGCGCTTTAGAAAAATTTTTAATCTGGGAATAACAAAGGATATTTGCGGAAAGAAGTTATCAAAATTAGAAAAACTGCAAAGTTTGGTTGCGAAATGTTGTAAAACACGGAAAATATAGCCCTGCAAAGTTGGCAAATTTGTATACATTTCTATTACGTGCGGAAATTGGTAACTAATTTAGCTACCAACTCACGCACGTAATACAAAAGTATACAAATTTGCCAACTTTGAAGGGCTATATTTTCCGTATTTTACAACATTTCGCAACCAAACTTTGTAATATTACTAATTCCAAGACGCTCTTTCTAGCTGTGGTGATAGATTTCGTTGTTCTTACTTAGATTAAAATTTAGTCTAAAGCGCAAGTCGTCCATTCAAATTCATATACTTCATTTAACCACGGTAAAATCTCATCAGGAGTACAAACAATCACAAATATACAAAACAAAAACTACAACAAATAAAATAACCCGCTTTTCCATGAGTGCTGTGGAGACAAAACTTTATACACTTATATACAAATAATGTTGAGTGCGATGGTATTGGCAATTATTCGTGCAATGGTAAGAATATTTTCATTCGGTGAAAGATGGAATGTTCCATTCAACGAGGCGACTTGTGGTTAGAGCTCGACAACTGGCCTCTGTAGCTCAGTTGGTTAGAGCGCTGCATCAGAATCGCAGGGTCGCAGGTTCAATTCCTGTCAGGGACCTAAAGTTGCATTTTTCGCAGCTGTTCCTGGTCAGGTCTAATAAATGGATATAAATTCCACTCGATAATTTCCATCAGCAAAACCCTTCAACTGCAGAGCCTGAAATAACGGCCGGCGGTCGGCGGTTTTCCGACCAAATTCCAGTTTTTCCGACCAAATGCTGAAATGATCGGAAGTTTCGTCCGGACAAATGTTAAAAAAAATAATGATAATCTGGGTTTTTTTTTAATTATCGAGTCGGCGCTCAGCACAGTGAGTGCAGTATCTATAGTCTTAGATTATCTATACTAGTCTTATATAGAGTAATCAACTGGAAAGTTATCAAAGTTTCTTCGATCAGAGTATGCTTTAAACAAAGTTTAGTTAACTTAAATGTGTGACAGTGCATGAGTTACGAGTCAGAGTGACTGCTTTCATTGTTGTTAATTTGACGACCTGGAAGATAAAGAATGCGTTTCCTCGACGTTTCGAGCAAAGGCCCTTCATCAGGACAGTTAAATAGGCTGTTTATTACAAGTAGAGTGATTTACTGCATGCTTGACATAATTTACTCAACGGAGGCGATCAAACTAAACTAAAAAATTTCCGACCAAATTTGAAAATTTCCGGTCAAATTTCATTGTGCTTGGAAGTTTTGCCGGACAAATTTAAAAATTATTTCAGGCTCTGAACTGTAGCAAATTACATTCAAACGTGTACAATTTAATTTTCAAAACAGATATATACAGTCGAACCCCTATAAGCGGACACCTCTCTTAAGCGGACACCTCTTTTAAGCGGACACATATCTCAGGTCCCATTCGTTTTCTTTAATAAAAAACTATTATCATAACCCCTATTAAGCGGACACCCCTATTTAACGGACGCGGACACCTTACTTGAGGTCCCAATGGGCAAACCAACCTCTCTTAAGGTTACAGAACACCTTCGAGTGTTAATTTTGCCTAAATTTTTTTTATTGGTTTCCATGAAAACATCAGACTAGTTCTACTATCTGACCAAGTTTGAACGAAAAATGTTGAAAACTCGCAGAGTTATTTAGTAAAATACATTTCGCTTGCAATAAGAAAAACATTGAAAATGTAATATTCAAATTCAATTTTCTCCCGAAAAATTTTGCGGTAATTACTGATTTTCAAACGAATTGTGCTCCTGCGGGTTTTAACGAATTTTTCTCAAATTTTCACATGCAGGACATAGCTAAAGACGTCAGTTTCAAAATCGTGTTCGACTTTTTTTTAATTTTGGATATTTTAAAAATAAAAATAAAGAGCAATTCACTCAAACAATTCAGAAATATATTGCAGTCGTCAAAGAAATCGCCATATCAGCGGAATGACGAAATAAACAAAAATTTCCGAACACAATTTTTTAGAACAACTATTTTACTGTATAAAAATGATATTTTCATAAATATAACTTAAAACCAGCAGGAGCACAACTGAAAAGCGTAACGGTACCGCGATTTAAGATTTTCCTGAATAATTCTTACATTATTTTATTGTTTGTTAATTTTACAACTTTACCATATTTTGCATGTACTGGAGAACATTTGGTGAAAATTTGATGAAAATCGGACTCATATTGAGCGCGCAGTAGCGATTTTCCGCAAAACGCCAAAAATGGTGTCCTGTAACCTTAAGCGGACACATATCTCAGGTCCCATTCGTTTTCTTTAATAAAATACTATTATCATAACCCCTATTAAGCGGACACCCCTCTTTAACGGACGCGGACACCTTACTTGAGGTCCCAATGGGCAAACCAACCTCTCTTAAGCGGACAGATGACAGATTGTCTGATAAAATGTATTCAATATTCGACAGTAAATAACAATTGAGATCAATTTACATGGCACATTGACAGTGACACACCAACATGGCGCGAAGACATCAGAGCCAAGATTATTGAGGAAGTGACGAACGAGGACTGTGAGTGTCAGATCACACTGTGGTCAGATCACTGATGATGACAACGAACTGAACGAAGATGATCAATTGACAATTGGACTGGTCTCTTAACGAACCAGTCATTAAATCGTCCTTCGAAGCCCTTAAAGTTGTCGAGCGGCTGGCAGAATTCGCACAATTTCGAGGTTGGGAAGAACTTTCCAATTATGCCATTTTTATGTAAATGACATTATAATGCGCTATCGTCTGCGTGAGCCTCGAAAGTAAACTTGTATCGATTCCTTTTTTATATGACTGTGAGAGACGTATACATTTTCTAATGAACTTTTATGCACAAAGAAATTTTCATTTTATACTATGAATTATTTGCTAGATATTTTTTACTGTTTTGATACTCAAATTACATACTTAATTACACACCTTTGCCCCTGCTGTGTTCTTCTACATACCCCTTTTTTAAGCGGACACTTAGGCGAGGTCCCGAAGGTGTCCGCTTAATAGGGGTTCGACTGTAGATTTAATAAGAAATTTACATGCAATCCTGAAGCTAGGCGAAGCCGAATCAACTATCACCTCATAGAAATCGAGAGCGAGTCATCTAATTGGTTTTAATAGTAGAATCTCCAGTAAACATGCAATCAAGTTCGTCCTCAGAAACCTCAAAAAAAAAAACGCGAGCCGGAAGACATTTGTTTTAAAAAATGCGCCAGGAAAACTATTGTTTTGCTACTCGCTATCTATCGAGGAAAGATAGCGAGTAGAGTAGCCAATCAAATTGCAGCATTTGCATCAGTATACTACTATGATTCTACTAATATTATTATTATTAGTACTAGAAGTAGGTAAGTGAATGTAGGATTATAATGACCGAATGTAAGTCTATGTGGACCTCACCTTTTTGCACATATATAGCAGAGATAAAAGTGTTCTGGAATCTATTGGTATTTGTCATGATTTTTTTTCTGTGTTGGTGTAATGTACTCAGGTGAATATGATGCTTGTGATGTTACCCTGAGTGTATATCCACACCGGGCAAGCTTGAAAAATATGCCTGACCACGGTGGGAATCGAACCTACGACCTTTGGAATACTAGCCCAATCACTCTGCCAACTGAGCTACGCGGTCTGGTCGGTTCGAGCATGTGATATTTCGGAACAGAATCTAGATCCTTCGATATCAATGTTATCTAATAATAATCATGATTTTTTTTCTGTGTTGGTGTATATTTTTCTGTGTCAGGTGAATATGATGCTTGTGATGTTACTAGATGTGATGTTACTAGATGTAGATGTGATGCATCTAACATCACAAGCATCTATTGGTATTTGAAGGGAACAAATTGAAGACTCTATGGGCTCTAAAATTGTGCATTGCATCTGATAGGTAAAAGATCGAATGTCAATGATTTGTGTGATTGGTCATCAATAATGTTATTAAAAAGGCTAGTTAATAAGGTATGGGTCAATGTCAAGATTTTGTTGGGTCTTGTAGATGGAAATTATCAAGTGTAGTCTGTGCAGGGTGTATAAAAAAAGATTTTGTTGGGTCTTGTAGATGGAAATTATCAAGTGTAGTCTGTGCAGGGTGTATAAAAAAAGATTTTGTTGGGTCTTGTAGATGGAAATTATCAAGTGTAGTCTGTGCAGGGTGTATAAAAAAAGATTTTGTTGGGTCTTGTAGATGGAAATTATCAAGTGTAGTCTGTGCAGGGTGTATAAAAAAAGATTTTGTTGGGTCTTGTAGATGGAAATTATCAAGTGTAGTCTGTGCAGGGTGTATAAAAAAAAAGTTACTCCAACTTTCACACGTCATCGTGTGTTAATCAATACGTCAATAGCTTTTCTTTTTCGTATTTATAAATAACAGGCTTTTAGCTGTCGACCTTTATGGAATGACTGCGAAAAAAAATGACCAAATGCGATCTGATTTCAAGTGATCGGTCCTTTGGTATTAAAATGTTCTTCCAATTTTCCAAAATTTGCCCAAATGCTTGTTGCAAGTTCCCAGGATTGTAAAGTGTTTTAGCCACTCAATTTCGATGTAAAATTGCGAGCAATAGTTTATCAAAACTTGATGCTTACACGTGCGTTGCGCCATATTTAATCAAGGGACTCAATTTAAATCCCAAATGAGAATAATTTCAGTAATCAGATCGACAATAGCTTTACATGCAAAAAAGAACAATAAAAAAATATTAATAATAAATATTAAATAATAAATATTAATAATAAATATTAATAATAAATATTAGACAATAGCTTTACATGCTTTGCATGAGATTCTTCAAAATGGTGATAGTGGTAAATTGAAAGAATATAAAAAAACTTTTTAAAGTAAATGTGGGTATTGAAAAATACCTTATAGAAATTAAAAATTTTAAGTACCGTCAAACAGTTACAAGATTACGAGTTTCAGCGCACAGATTACCAGTAGAAATTGGTCGATATAAAAAATTGCCTACTGTGATAGAAAATGTAAACTTTGTGATCAGGGTGAAGTTGGAAATGAACAACATTACCTAATGTCATGTGGTAACACAATGTTTGGATTCTTGCACTTCAGACTTGGTGGAATTAATGTTAGGGTTTGTAATCCAAGTGAGAATATATACATTTTAAGACCTAACCAGGAACGACTGCGAAAAATGTAGCACAAGGTCCTCTGGTAGGAATTGAACCTACGGCCCTGCGATTCCGATACAGCGCTCTAACCAACTGAGCTACAGAGGCCAGCTGTTAAGCTGTAACCGAAAATGTATATATTCTCACTTGGATTACAAACCCTAACATTCTAACATTAATTCCACCAAGTGAAGTGCAAGAATCCATCATTGAAGTCCACCTTATCACAACCCGCACACCCGATTACCTATATATACATGAACTTACGAGCTCAGTTGGTCAGAGCGCTGCACCGGAATCGCAGGGCCGTAGGTTCAATTCCTACCAGAGGACCTTGTGCTGCATTTTTCGCAGTCGTTCCTGGTTAGGTCTTAAAATGTATATATTCTCACTTGGATTACAAACCCTAACATTCTAACACAATGTTTACATTTTTACGACAGAATTTTATTAATTCTGTTTATAAAACTAACCGATCTTTTAAATATTACACAAAGATACACAAAGTTTGTTCCAATATATACGAGATAGAAATATTCTGAAATTATCTTCAAAATATTGCTACGATATACTAAGAACTTTTGATATTTTGCATGAGTTAGTCTGAACAAATTATTTGTAAGTTTATATACTGTAATGTCTTTTTTATACTTTGTAAACTAATGTATATGTAGGTATTCAATGTACCAATATTATATTTGTTTCCGGAAAAAGTCACATCAATGCCAATTCGTCATTTGAAGCACACGTATAGTTGTTATTTGTTTTGGCAAGCGAACAAAGATCTTTGTGTCGTGTTTAGTCTGAGGATTTTTTCCATTTTAATATACGTGGGATGGTGTTTGCGTTTACTTTGCATTGTATGTTAATCAGCTTTATATACACACAAGAGTGTTCATGAACCATGAATGCGTATAGTCATTTCCTATTGCAATATATTGGCTTTGAGATATTTCACTTTGCGATCACCAATTTGTGATAATATCCTAAGTCCTAACCTGAATATCAGGCCTGCATCTATCCCGCCTTACGCTTAAAAGGGAAAATCGGGCAGCGAGAAGCGCGCGGGCGATAAGACTAAAAAAAGACAACGTCTTTACTCTCAATGATCATAATTAAACTATTACCAATCGTTAATCATCACTTTATAAATCCTGTTTTAAAAAGGTCATGACTTCTTGGGCGGATTAAACGTTATAAAAGAGTAAACGTCAATATAATGATAAACAGCTTCCTATAATGGCATTTCAATATCAACTCGCCCTCAACAAATAGTCATAGGAAACTGGTATTAGATTCTACATCGTTTGCCCTTATGCGATCTGCTATATCCTGTGCGTCCGTGGCTCTGAGGAGAACTGTTGGAATAGAAAATTATATAGCATCGACACCACAGGGTGTATATAAAAAAGATTAACCTTACTGTTATAATTTGAATGCTATAGAACAAGAGTGAGAAAACACAATTGAATTGAATTTTAACTACAACAGGAGCAAAATAGATTGTGCTTAACATCAATAGATTAATTTCTAGAGGTCTCCTTTTTAAGATACACTCTGTATAGCTTATAGTTTCCTGACATTTAACAACGAAATTATGAATAAATATTTTAAGTAAAGATTTAATGCCAAACTAAACGAACTGAAATTTAGTTATCTGTAAATATGTCAGTAGCATGTTTTGTGTGAAAATAAATTATCTAGCCTGAAGTCTAGTTTATATGCTGTCGAAGTTTCCGAGAGTTTCGCAATCACAGCGCGGCAATTTTCCATAGATAAATTCTAAGCTTTGAAGGATTTGTAAGAAATGTTTGAAGGGACCTGACTCAGTGTTAAGCAATGAGTCAATCCCCTCCAAAATTTCTGGCAAATCCATCAAAGCTTTAATGGAATTCACCATTCGATAGTGTATAAAGCCAGGCTTAATGGCAATCTACTAATTCTATCACTCATTACTATTTTGCTATCACTTTATAACAATACAGACATTTGCATCGTCTATCACTTTATAACAATACAGACATTTGCGTCGTCATTCAATCTTACCAAGAATTTCGCTACAGTGCTATTACATGTCACGGAAATGGTAACATTTTTGACGGCATTCAAAACAATGAACATAAATACACTGTTTAAACATGTATCCCTGTACAATTTATAATATTTGTATGTCAATTTTCGCCCCAAGGGGCAGATATTCACTTGCCCAAACAGGCAAACACATTCATTATCTGATGTTATTTTAAACGTCATAGAAGGCTCATAATATATCGTTTGTCTTCTAAGCGAACTTCGGACTTCCAACAAGACATTTAACAGCTGAATTCTGAATCAAAACAAACCAGTTGGGTTCCTGACTTCGAAACCAATTTCTTCAGTTAGCAACAGATTTCGTTGGTAGAGAACAATAGTTTATAATTTCCTGCCATTACACAGTCTAATGAATCGTTAACTATAGTTTATTAACAGTTTGTTCCAAATAAGCTTCACAATTTTTAAAAATCACGAAATATTTTACACCGACATACTGTAATACCAGGTCCAACCTGGCGCGATATTTTATTAACGGCGCCATCAAAAACACTTTATGTGATCGTCCATATTCTTCATCGTATAGCAACAAGTGAGTTATGAAAATATCGATGTGAAGTGCTTCAATATATTCAAGTAGACATCAATGAATTCAACTATGAACTTTATGAAATCGTTCTCCATCAATACAATAACATAACAAACCGATAGGATAGGTAAACATATCACACCGAAGTGCCATGAAGCGAACTACCATAGTTCACAACTGGTAATGAATTGCGTCGGTTGTTTTTATTCTTTCGCCATTGTAGCCAGGCATCTATGCTAGGTTGATCAGGCGACGTGGTACTGGCACTTCGATTCCTCTCCTCGTCCTCGGAAGATGTCGATATATTAGATCGTCGTCCTGAATCCGTTTCATCTTTGGGAAGTTGTTCGTTCGAGTGAAAAAGTATGTCGCTTCGTCGTCGAAGAGTGGCGCCGATGCTCGGCGCATCTCCGACAAACACGGGCGAAGATGACACTCTTGAAAGGGCGGTTTTTTCCCGTGGTAAACTGTTCGCTTTCGGTTGAATATTCGATGGTTTTTCCTCCACAGGAATCGGCTTTGCTTCGCTCATTGTTAAATATATATGCCTTCAGGCACGCAGGCAATGTCAATAAGTAGACTGTATCTGATCACCATATAAGTTCTCAGATTACGTAATAGCCATACGGAATGTTGTTGGCTCGTGTTGTTGCGAAATTTCGAGACGTTCTCGTCGTTCTGATGTTGTATGGCATTTGGACTTTGATAACCGTCTTACTTTTTGTATTCAAATCACATGTTGATACGGGATATTTAGAAATACTGTATGCTTATGCTAAGTTCAAAATTTGAATAAAGACTGGAACACACTGGACTCAAAAGACATCTGGAACGTTACAACTAAGCCTTCATTTTCCTTTTACCATAGTTTTTTTTTGTTTTTTTTGTTTGTTTTTTATTTAATGATTTGCCCATGTGATATACCATTATGTTACATAAAAAGTAAATAAAATAAAGTAGAAACATTTGGGCTAGGAGTCTATAGAAACCTTGAACAGGCTTTTGATTTAGACCCCTAGTTTAAAGTCTTGGTGCTAATATATATAAATAGTTAATAGAATAGAATAGTCTGAATAGAATAGATGGTTTGGAAACTCATTAGAATAACAATATAACTCATTATCTATGTTAGTCAGCGTTTATTCATCAATCTGGTCCTTCACCGTCACGTGTGTATTGTATTTTTGCCAAATACACCAATAGCAATTTCCAATTTACCCTATTGTTCGGATAGCGAACTTTCTAAGACATTGCTATTGGTTAGTTGGGCAAAATACAATACGCACGTGACGGTGAACGACCAGATTTATGAATAAACGTTGACTAACATAGATAATGAGTTATATTGTTATTCTAATGAGTTTCCAAACCATCTATTCTATTAACTATGCTTTTACTGAGTCAGATCCCTCAAACATTTCTTACAAATCCTTCAAAACGTAGAATTTACGTATGCAAAATTCCTACTGTGATCACAGAAACTTTGATAGTGTCTGAAATGGTGTTTCAATACATTGAACTTAAAATTTTCATAAAAAGACTAATCCACTGGACTCAAAAGATACATGGAATGCTAAACCTATGCAATGATAGTGATCTGGCTTGGCTTGTATACTTAAAACAGGATGTCACAAGTCATATAACAGTTTTGGGATTTGTGTTTGAGACCAAATATTGATATGATGCATTAAATATATTGTTAACTCAGGTCTAAGAAAGGGCTACAATATCTAATTACAATTTCCATACAAAGACCATTGATATGTAACAATGACAAAGACTATGTCACTGAGCTCAAAATATACCTGGAATACTAATTTGTGCTTTATGTCAATGAAAAGGTTCAGTTTTGATACAAATATCATAATAAATGTATGAATCACAGTGAACTAAAAAATACCTGAAGTACTATTACAGGAAACATGAAATGTACTGCTAATAACAACCACAACAGAACTTGTGTTTGAAATCAAATATTGATATTGTGAATTGAGAAATACACTTTCGCAAGCTTGCACTGAACTCAAAATATATCTGAAATGCTTATTACACTTGTACAACCATGGGTGGATTTCACTTTGAAATCCATCAGACCAGAGTTTAAAATAGCAGCCTGCTGTCATGGCATTTGCACAGCACTAGGCGTAAAAAAAAATACCTGTGGTTAAAAATTAGGGTCGGTAGGTCGGAAAGAATTTTTTTTTTGAATATTTTTTCATGGTTTTTTCAATAATTAGTGTGACAACAGACGCCATTTTGGCAGCAGCCCGCAACCACCCGGAGAAAATAGGGTTGCACGGTCAATCGCGTTGAAAAAATAATAGGGTCGGCAGAAAAAAATAGGGTCGGTCGGGAACCGGAACCACAGGTAGTTTTTTACGCCCTAGCCAGCAACTTCTAAATTAGCAACAAGTTTTTCGTCTCAGTCCATTGATGTATACAATGAATTTACAGGTTTTAAATTTAAAAAAAAAGATTGTGTTATGGGTAATTTCATGGTGACTCGTGTTACATTCTGAACCAAACTATCAGAGTAATTTTGATCTGATGTGATAACAAATATATTTTTTATGTCACATTTTGCATGCAGGTACAAATAAGTGTTAGCTACTGATTCACCATAAAAATTAAACATTTGATTATAACATGATAAGATTGGTGGCCGTAAATTGGTGTGTGACTCATGCTATTGCAAACAAACATTGTTTGCAATAGCTTCTGAAAATTCTTGACAACTTTTTTCTTCAAAAAATGTCATCACTACCTTGGAAATTACCCTTAATTGCACACTGGTAGCCATGAATGAACCTGGTAGCCATGAATTTCAGGTAGCTATAAACTAGACCCAGGATAATGCACGTAAACAAGGCATGGACAAAACATTCGTTCTTAGTGAGTATTTTAAAATTTCATTTTGTGATGGTTTACTTACTAACCTAGATTATGCTGGGCATTGAATTTCATCATACAATTTTGGAAAAAAATTTTGAAAAGGTTTTTTGATATAATAAATAATTTGAATTTAGATATATATTTGCAGGCTGTTTGGTGCATGTACCTTTCTTGAACCAGCAATTTTTGTCAGGCTTTGATAAGCTGAATATGAAATGATTATGCAGAAACTACCACCATGTACAAAAGCTGCTGCAAAATGGGCAGCAAAATAGAAAACACATGCAACAATGGTCTTCTTAAACCCTGCAAATATTTACATATGTACATTCAATTCAGAACATTTTATAGTAAAATAGGTTTAACATGAGCAGCCATGTTGTATTTTGACTCATTTTATGCACACCAGGAAAATACTACAGATGTGGGTACAATAACTAATGGTAAACTATTAAGGCATGGCTACAGAAGATAAGGAACCATGGAGGGACCTTATCTTCATAGTTGAAGGGGCTAGCTCCAAATGTCAAAACATGCACTTTTAAAAACTTTGAGTTATGATGTAAGTTTGGTGGCGGACAATTTATGAAATATTGGAAAGGCAAATGTATGCCAAAGGGGATTCAGTGTCTGTTTAAGGTTCTTTAAGGGTCATTTGATTATTGTATGTGTTTTGTGTGCCATCTGAGTTTGAATTATAATATAACAGAATCAAATAAATTTCACATTCATTTGTGATGATATAGCGTATTTACATTTTTTTTAATTTATAGCTTACTATTTACGTCCTTGGTACCATGCATGGATACACACTTCCACTGATAGGACGTTGGACTGTAGCAGACAATGACATTGTATGGGTGTGATTGTATGCTTGCCACTTGCCCCTAAACAATGCTTGTGAATTGCTATATTTGGTACCAGACTTTTACAGGTCTTTCAAAATTATTGGGGGCAGCCACTTCCCCCTAACAAATGCAAAAGCTATTGGGGCTGTGTCGGACATCAATTGGAGTTTGGTTTCAGAATCCATTCTTGTCCCCAGGCCCAGTGTGGAAAGTTTGTTTCGTGCGGCGGATATCTCCGGAGCGCAATTTTGACGCTTTCTATTGATTACTATTAAATTTTTTAAATCTCCGGTGCGCAATTTCCAAACTTTCCAGTCAGGCCCCAGGCTACTAGTTTTGGTTTGTTTGGTGCTCCCTAGACCCCCAAATCTACTTCCATTCAAAATTTTATCGAGTATATTGTAGCATATTTTTGATGGCTTATG